TCTTACCTTAAAAATATGCCCCCTAGTCTTGAAATCCCCCCGTCCTTCAGAAAAGATACCTGTCATTCACCTTATCTATACTCCTCATTATTTTATAAATCTCTATAAGGTCACTTCTTAACCTCCTATGCTCCAGTGAAAAAAGTCCCAGCCTATACAGCCTCTCGATGTAATTCAAACGCTCCAATATCCAGGCAATATCCTGGTAAATCTCTTCTGTACAACTGCAACATAATGTCCAAACCGCTATATTCCAAGGTCTGAGCAATGACAGCAAGCATGTTAAACACCTTCTTCACCACCCTGTTTATATATGATGCAAACTTCAAAGAATTATGTTCCTGAACCCCTAGATCTTTCTGCTCTACAACACTACCTAAGGCACTACCTTTAAATGTATAAGTCTTGCCTTTGTTTGTCTTGCCAAAATGCAACACCTTGCATATATCCAAAGTAAACTCCATCTGTTTCTCTTCACCCGTTGGTCCAATTGATCAAGATCCCTTTGCAATCTTAGATAACATTCTTCACCGTCCACTATACCACCAATTTTGGTGTCATCTGCAAACTTACTAACGATGCTTTGCATATTCTCATCTAAATCATTTATATAAATGACAAACAAAAGTGGACCCAGCACCGATCCCTGTGGAACACTGCTGGTCACAGGCCTCCAGTCTGAAAAACAACCCTCCACCATCACTTTCTGCCTCCTGTTGTAAAGCCAATTTTGCATTCAATTGGCAAGCTCACCCTAAAACCCATGTCATCTAACTTCACTAATTAGTCTACCACATGGAACCTTGACAAAAGTTTTACTAAAGCCCAAGTAAACAATGTCTATTGTCCTGCCCTCATCAATCTAGTGGCTACTTCCTCAAAAAATTCAATCAAGTTTGTGAGACACAATTTCCCTCACACAAAACCATGTGCAATATTTGGTGGCAGAGATGATACATTCTTTCCCTGCAGTTTTATTCAGCTCATGTCAAATTCCTTTATCTCTTTACCTCCAACCACATGTTTACCTTGGTCTTAATTATTAACGTAATCTCTTCTTCAACACTAAGATTAAAAGAAGCCTCAGAAGGCTTTTGATGAGGTCCTATACATGAAAGTAATAAGCAAAATTAGAGCACAAAAGATTGAGGAACCATATACAGGCATGGATTTTGTCCATGATTATGGGGGGAAAACAGATTGTAGGAATAAATGGGTATTTTCAGATTGGTAGGAGGCTCATTATTGAGTATATGCAAAATGGAGGTCAATAGATTCCTAGATATTTACAATATCAAGGGATATAGGGGAAATGCAGGAAAGTAGCATTGAGGTAGATCAGCCATGATGGAGCAGGCTTGAGGGGCCAAATGGTCTACTGCTGCTCCTATTTTCTATATTGCTACAACTCCACCGATGCAGTCCTATGACAATTACGAAGACGGACAGGTGGCTGTCCTGTTGTCATCATGTTGTAAGGCTGTAAGATTCATGATCAGTGTTAATGATGGAACCCAAGCCAATGTAAACATTTAAGAATGGGTTAAGTAGGTGTGTCAAAGAGGATTAAAGAAATATATCAGCATTAGCCATTTCAAAAGAAATACGGACGTGGGGGGCTGCATTGCTAATCAGGGATGGTATCACAGCTGCAGAAAGAGAGGTCGTTGAGGAGGGGTTGTCTACTGAGTCAGTACGGGTGGAAGTCAGAAACTGGAAAGGAGCAGTCACTTTATTGGGAGCTTTCCATAGACTCCCCAGTAGCAACAGAGACACTGAGGAACAGATTGGGACGCAGATTTTGGAAAGGTGCAGAAGTAATGGGATTGTTGTCATGGATGACTTCAACTTCCCTAACATCAACTGGAACCTCTTAAGTGCAAATAGTTTGGATGGAGCAGATTTTGTCAGGTGTGTCCAGGAAGGATTTCTGACTCAATATGCAGATAGGCCGACTACAAGGGAGGCCATATTGGATTTAGTGCTAGGCAATGAACCAGGCCAGGTGTCAGTTCTCTCGGTGGGAGAGCATTTTGGTGACAGTGATCACAACTCCCTGACCTTTACTATAGTCGTGGAGAAGGACAGGAGCAGACGGTATGTGAAAGTATTTAATTGGGGGAAGGGGAATTACAATGCTATTAGGCAAGAACTGCGGAGCATAAATTGGGAACAGATGTTCTCAGAGAAATGCACGACAGAAATGTGTAAATTGTTTTGGGAGCACTTGCTACAAGTTCTGGATAGGTTTGTCTCACTGAGGCAAGGAAGGGATGGTAAGGTGAAGGAACCTTGGATGACAAGACATGTGGAACATATAGTCAACAGGAAGAAAGAAGCTTACTTAAGGTTGAGGAAGAAAGGATCAGACAGGGCTCTAGAGGGCTACAAGGTAGCCAGGAAGGAACTGAAGAATGGACTTAGGAGAGCTAGAAGGGAGTATGAAAAAGCCTTGGTGGGTAGGATTAAGGAAAACCCCAAGGCATTCTATACTTATGTGAAGAACAAGAGGGAGGTAAAAGAGGTGGGGGACTGGCATTGCTAATCAGGGGATGGTATCACAGCTTCAGAAAGGGAGGTCATCGAGGAAGGTTTGTCAGACAATGTTTATCAATGTTTGACATGTTTGTCAGGAGGCCAGAGTGAGGATAGGGCCAATCAGGGATAGTGGAGGGAACTTGTGCGCTGAGTTGGAGGAGGTAGAGAATGTCCTTAATGAATACTTTGCTTCAGTATTCACCAGTGAGAGGGACCTTGACATTTGGACAGCGTGAAACAGGCTGATATGCTCGAACAGGTTGATGTTAGGAAGGAGGACATGCTAGGAATTTTGAAAAACATGAGGATAGATAAGTCCCCTGGGCCAGATGGGATATACCCAAGGTTGCTACAGGAAGCGAGGGAAGAGATTGCTGCAACTTTAGCAATGATCTTTGCGTCCCTACTGTCCACTGGAGTAGTACCTGATGAGTGGAGGGTGGCAAATGTTATTCCTTTGTTCAAGAAAGGGAATAGGGATAATCCTAGGAATTACAGACCAGTCATTCTACTTCCATGTGGGCAAATTATTGGAGAGGATTCTGAGAGATAGTATTTATGTTTATTTGGAAAAGCACAGTTTGATTAGAAATAGTCAGCATGGCTTTGTGAGGGGCAGGTCATGCCTCACAAGCCTTGTTGAATTCTTTGAGGATGTGACAAAACACATTGATGAAGGTAGAGCAGTGGACGTGGTGTGTATGGATTTTAGCAAGGCATTTCATAAGGTTTCCCATGGTAGGGTCATTCAGAACATAAGGAGGCATGGGATTCAGGGAAATTTGGCTGTCTGGATACAGGATTGGCTGTCCAATAGAAGACAGAGGGTGGTAGTAGATGGAAAGTATTCAGCTTGGAGCTCGGTGACCAGTGGTGTTCCACAGGGATCTGTTCTGGGACCTCTGCTCTTTGTGTTCTTTATAAATGACTTGGATGAGGAAGTGGAAGGATGGGTTAGTAAGTTTGCCGATGACACAAAGGTTGGTGGAATTGTGGATAGTGTGAAGGGCTGTTGTAGTTGCACCGGGACATTGACAGGATGCAGAGCTGGGCAAAGATGCAGCAGATGGAATTCAACCCAGAAAAGTGTGAAGTGATTCATTTTGGAAGGTTGAATTTGAATGCAGAATACAGGGTTAATGGCAGGATTCTTCGCAGAGGGATCTTGGAGTCCACGTCCATAGATTCCTCAAAGTTGCCTCCCAAGTTGATGGGGTTGTTAAGAAGGTGTATGGTGTAAAGGCTTTCATTGGCAGGGGAATTGAGTTTAAGAACCGTAAGGTTACACTGCAGCTTTATAAAACTCTGGTTAGACCACACTTGGAATATTGTGTTCAGTTCTGGTCACCTCATTATAAGAAGAATGTGGAAGGTTTAGAGAGGGTGCAGAGGAGATTTACCAGGATGCTGCCTGGAATGGAGGGCAGGTCTTATGAGAAAAGGTTGAGGGAGCCAGGGCTTTTCTCATTGGAGCGAAGATGGATGAGAGGTGACTTGATAGAGGTGTACAAGGTGATGAGACGCATAGATAGAGTGGATAGCCAGAGACTTTTTCCCAGGTTGGAAATGGCCATCTCGAGAGGGCGTATTTTAAGGTGATTGAAGGAAGATATAGGGGAGAAGTCAGAAGTCGGTTCTTTATACAGAGAGTGGTGGGTGTGTGGAATGCGCTGCCGGGGGTGGTAGTGGAGTTAGATATGTTAGGGATATTCAAACGATAGGCACATGGATGATAGTAAAATGTAGGGTATGCAGAGTAGTTTGATCTTAGAGTAGGATAATAGGTCGGCACAACATCGTGGACTGAAGGGCCTGTACTGTGCTGTACTGTTCTATGTTCTATAATGCGTCAGGGTTAATCATTTGGATGGTCAACACCTGAATAAGTTGTTACAGTTTCGTTTTATTAACATTCCTCCATGGACCATCATTCAGAACACATGAAATCACTCCTTCCTAGAGACAAAGAAAATCTGTGGAGCCACAGAACAATGCATGCGTTTGAAAGTCATCCCCCCTGTACGTGAAGTGCTGTGAGACATTTCTGAGCAATTGACGAAACATGAGTGAATGCGAGTCTCCGGCCCTTGCTCACATTTTTTTTGTCCACAGAAAAGGAGGACCAGTTCTGGATTGAGATAATTGATGACCCTAGAGAGGGGCTTTCCTTGTGATCTCATCGTCGACCTGTGAGCATTGAGCAAGGTTGGGAATGTTTGCTGTCATCTCTTGCGCGACTGTCGCCTTGTACTTTTCTGGGAGTTTGAACAGAAAGGGTGCAGCTCCCTAACTTTTGGAGTGGGGCGGGAGATACGTTGTTGCACAACTTTAAATGAACTCACTCCTTAAGGTTTCCAGGCACCTCGAGAAATGTTGAAGGAAATGGAGAGGGGTGTAATGTTTATAAATCAATTGCATAGCCAGCCAGCTAGCACTCGGGGCTAGTAAACAAGGATGACTCGGAGTTGCTTTAAATAGGCTGTGAGGAGGCAGGACTGAACTCCTCTGCTACTCGGGCTATGGCTAAACTTGGTCAGCTCACGTAAGAGGGGCCTGATCCTCTCTAGGGGCACGTCAGATTCCTTTCAATTGCTCATAGATCAGATTAAACAGATGACAACTGGCGATTGCCTCAACTCCAGCAAACTAGAAGAAGTATAAAGCCCGGGGCACACGACAGGGAGAGGGTCAGAGGAGACTTTCTGGAGGGTCTAGGTAGAAGCAGCGATGGCTGAGAGTCAGGTCCCATTTTCCTGCCAGATGCCTGGGAGGCACAGGAGTAGCAGGGACCCTTTCCGAGAGCCGGCCTTATCTTCTCGCTTCCTGGACGATGAGTTCGGCATGCCAACTTTTTCCGAGCACTTCACGGCCGACTGGCCGGACTGGGCGAGACCCAGGCTCACCTCCACTTGGCCGGGGCCCCTGAGATCATCCTTTAACGGGGCGGCTCGGGACTCTGCGGGTATCTACGGCCCGGCGCCTCCTCATTACACGGCTCGTTACACCGGCTACCCCGAGGCCAAGAACCCGCCCAGCATCAACCCGGGGGAACCCTGGAAGGTGTGCGTTAACGTGAAGAGCTTCGCCCCCGAGGAGCTGACCATCAAAACCAAGGATGGGTTCGTGGAGATATCGGGTAGGCCGGGGTGGGGTGTAAAGTAGGGGGTGGTGAGGGAATGTTGTACCGAAGCAGAGGTCACACAGAGGCTGAGTGAAGGTCAGTCAGAGGGACACGTCTGTCTTGTGTGGGGGCCCTCTCACCCCTCAAACCACTCCACTCAAGGAGGCGAGGGTGCATCAGAGCACAACAGAGTGAGGGGGAGGGGGGGGCTAGATAAATAAAAATAAGTCAGCTATCATTCCTTCATTCCTCACCTCTCTGCAAAAACTTGCCGAGTCTTGTTATATAAATCATGGGGTAGAATGCTGGACAAACTCGTCGAATTACAGATTCCAATTCCAATCGTAGATTTCTATGAGTTTGTCGAGCGTACGGGGCGCTGAAATAGATCGGAATAAATCCGTTCAAATTACTTAGTCCCCCACCTCTCCACCAAGACTTGCTGAGCCCTGTTATTATAAAACATGGTGCGGGGAGGAAGGGGGTGGGGGGTGGGGGGGAAATGTTGGACAACTTCATAGTATCAATGACTCAAATTCAAATCATAGCTTCTGTGATTCTCTGAGTTTATCCAGCGTTTGGTGTGTGTGTGTGTGTGACCCACTCCCATGTTTTATGTAACAGGACAGCATGTTTTACTGAAGTTAATTCCATGGTCTCAACATGTACGAAATTGCGCAAAAGGATTTTGTTTTTCTCACTGGGTTATTTTGGGTTTTGAATAAATTTAAACCAGGAGACTAGACAATGTTAAAATAGCCGTTTTTGATGCTGATGCGGACTGTTCTATAGTTGTTTTGCGGAAAACACAAGGGGTATGGTGATATAAGGGGAAATACTAATGTAATTGCTTTTAAGAGATGTGTGTATTGCCAATAGAATTCTACACTTAAAAAGTGGCTGATGTTTTCGAAGCTGAGCTATTTGGATTGAGGTATGGATCCTGTTCCAGGATTCAGGGACTACAGATAAGCAACAGTCTTAGACCTCGAGAGACATTACAGAGACCATGTAGGAGAGACACAGTTCGCTAACTGACGGTAAAATCCACCGCGAATGAACAAGACCCTGGCAAATCTGAAATTCTCGATCTTGAACAGGTTCCTGTCTGAGGCAAATTAAATGTAAGATATTGTGCCGTTTGATTTTCTTTCCTGACCTTTCCCCTTTGCATCGTTCTAGGAAAACACGAAGAAAAACAAGAAGAAGGAGGAATCGTTTCGAAAAACTTCACCAAAAAAATCCAGTAAGTAGTAGAAGGGATAGACTAACCAGAAGGGGGAAAGTGTGTGAATTTTAAAAGAAGCTGTTTAATCAGCTCGGGGAAGCGTTCGTAGTTTTCATATTTTTTAAAGTGCGCAACTTTAATGTTCACTCGTGGGTCTTATGGTATAAAACTGAGCAGGCGATGCCAAGAAACAGCGTTCATAAACTTGTGGGGGATTCCTTGCTTGCTGGAGGAAAGGCGAACGCCTTATTTGGTGATAGAATCGCGCTGACTTTAACAATAGGTTTTCGCGGTGCCCCACAGCAGAACGGAAACCAGATTCTCAAGTTTGTGTCAAAACTGGGCGATCATGCATTTTTTTGCACTCGCCCCTCCCCCGTCTGTTTGACTGCTATTGTCAAAATGCTGCTGGGTGACAGTCTGGGGGACCTAGGGTGCTAGCCAGAGGGCTTAAAGATCGCTGTCTAGTCCCCAGTTCCTCTTCTCGTTGACAATGCTAATGATTCCCGCATCCATCTTGGCACTTGAGGCTGGGCTGAAGTTTATTTGATGGTACGTAATTCAACTATTCACTACTTCAAATGAAAACGTTATCCAGTTTATTTTAAAGATACTGATGCCTTTGGTAAAATGGCAACAGAGCTAATGTGAACACAAAAAATGCAGTTACTTATGCATGGTAAAGCTTTGGAGTCAAAGGTAAAAGTACAGTGGCCATTGTGCTACTAGACCGTAGGATGGATCTATGTCCTTAGAGAGAAAGAAAGACAAGTGGTGGTAGTTTAACCTGAGGGTCACTACGCCCTAAGCGAGGGGACAAATTGAGAAGGAGAATCTTCATGGTAAGATCAGCTGGTTCGGAAATGGTGCTGATTCCGTCACTCTGCATTGCAAACTAGCTGGCCAGACAATCCAGCTGATCAATCGCTAAAGTTTAAGGTAATGAGGTAACGAAATAAAAACGAGAATTGCTGGAGACAACTGAAATGTTGGGCACAATTTTAAGACTGTGCCAGTGTATGGGTTTTCATTGAGTTAAAACCTCACATGTTAACCCTTGTTTCTCTCTCAAATTCTACAAAACCTGCAAAATAGTTCCAACATTTTCTGTTCTTATTTTTATTTCACATTTCCAGTATCTGCATATTTTGTTTTTCTCTTTGGAGAATGATCTATGTTTAATGCAAGTTAAAAATATTTGTAATTGTAACATACAAACAAACATTATGAATATTTTATTTTTATATCCTTGAAACAAATACTTTTTGTCACAATTGAAATCCTTCAGACATAAGGGATACATCAACTGAATCAAACTTTGAAGATTAGAAACAAAAATAGTAGGCAATTACGAATCCATTTAAACACATAGAGACTTTTCCTTTCAAATTTATATTTGATACACATGTTTATGACTTTCCTGCAAATGATGAACAAAGCAAATATTCAATCAGACAATTGCATATTTAAACAATCAAAATAAGTGATTCTCACTTATTCTCGTCTGAGACATGTCAGAGAAATTAAAACAATTAATTTTAACTTTAAGCAATAAGTCAGTATATCTATCCTGAATGATGCCATGCACATGAAGTACAGTTTTGCTTTTAATTGCAATTTACATCTTCATATTTTTTCTAAATAACACAAAGTTGTCAAATTTTTTCTCACTAACACAATGTTCCTTTAACAAAATATATTATTCTTCACAGTTTTCATGGATAAATAATGAACTACCATTATATTATATGAGAACAGATTCAATTTATAAGGCATTAGGCAGACTTTGTACAATTAATTGGCTGCCACCAGGAATCTTTATAATAAATGCTTTCACTTAAAGGTTTGTTTCTTAATGAATAACATTTATTATCGGGAAATTGTCTATGAAAGAGTTATAGAGTCATTATATCACAGAAGGAAGTCATTCGAACAAACAGGTCGATGCTGGCTCTCAATAAAACAATCTACTCAGTCCCATTTTGGCATTATATAACCATAGCTCAGCATGTTTGTTTCTCTCACATACCTATTCAAATTGCTTTAAAAAACCATTCATCGTCTCCATTTTCACTACCTTCATAGCCTGGGAGTTCCAAAACATTTACCTTCGCTGCATAAAGATATTCTTCCTCAGAACCCTTGTATCTGTCTTGTCCTCAAGTCTATGTCCTCTAATTCTTGTATCATCATCTCATGGGTACAGCTTTTCTTTGTCTACTTTATCTTAATTTGTCTTAATTATGTACATCTCTATTAAATCTCCCCTCAGCCTCCTTTACCCAAAGAAAAAAACCTTCTAACTAAATTCCCTCCTTGTTGGAACCATCTGGAAATACTCCTCTGCATCATCTCAAAGATTTTAACATCTTAAACTATGGTGACCACAACTGGACAGAATACTCCAGTTGTGACCTAACTAATACTTTACATAGCATTCAGCAAAACCTCTGCTTTTATGTCAGTGTCTCTACTTATGAAGCTCAAAATCCCATATGTTTTGCTAACTACTCAATATATCCTTCCACCTTCAAAGACCTGTGCAGATATTTCTGTTCTTGTACACCTTTCAGAGTGTGCCATTGCCTCTTCCTTTTCCTTCTGTTAAAATGCATCATCTCATACTTTTTTCATTAAATTCCATCTGCCACTTGTAGGCACATTCTGTCGGCCTATCTACACCCTGTTACGGTCAATGGTATCATTCTCTCTGTTTGCCATATATCCGATTTTGGTATCATCAGCAAATTTTGAACATTTGCTCTGTATTGAAATATCCAAGTCATGTATATTGATCATATACTGAAGGATGAAAAACAACTATTCAGTACAGCTCACTATTTCCATCCTTAAGCAAATCTTTTACCCAATTGACACCGAGCCACCAATTCCATTAGCCTCAATGTTGTACACCAGCACTGAATGTCAGACCTTGTCAGTGCTTTCTAAAAATCCAACATTGGTAATCTCTATTGTATTACTTTCATCAATCTTCTCTGTTACTTCAAAATGTTCAATTAGTCAAATATGATTGAATTCCCCCCTGGCTATTTGTAATTAACTTAAAACTCTCCAAACCCTTTTTAATTTTTCCCCATTTCTAAAACCTTGCCCACCACTGATGTTAAACTGAATTGCCTGTGGTTATCAGGAATGTCCTTATACTCTTTCTTTTGTTACATTTGTCACTTTCCCGAATCTATGGATGATTGAAATAATATTACAATATCTCCACTATCTCTACTTCCCATTTTCCTTCAGCAACCTAGGATGCCAGACATCTGTGCTCAGTGTATTATCCACTCGAAGTATGGTCAGCCTTTTCAGTATATCCTGCCTAACAATCTTAATGTCTAGCATATACACTTTTACTGATATTCAGTCAGCATTCTCTTCATTAGTAAAACCTTTAGGTAGCATTCATTAAGTATTCTATATTTTCTCTGTGTCTCTAAGAACATACCATCTCTTTGTCCCCAAGATGTCTCAACTCACCTTTTACTACCTAATTACTATCAGTGGAAAATTTTCGGGCTGCTTTTCCTGTTGACTACCAGTCTTTTCTCACATTCTGTCTTTGCCAGTCTTATTTTCCTCTTCACTTCTGCTCTCAAATTATATTTTGCCTGGTCCTAATTGAAGAATTCACCTGATATGCATCCACTACTTTCTTTCTATATTTTATCATATGACCCATCTCCCTTGTCATTTGAGGACTCCTGGCTTTGGATCTCCCATCTCTCACCCTTGTTAGAATATACCTAGACTATACATGCAACAGTTTTTCTCTAGAGATCGCTTATTGTTTTTTCAAAGCTTTTACTGTTAAACTTTGGTTCCAATTCATCCTGGCTAGATCCATTCTCATCTCGTTGAATTTAGCCCTCTAATTTGGAAATTTTGCTTTATATTGTTACTTGGTCTCCTCGGTTGCTAATCTAACTTTATGATGTTATGATCAGTCTTTCTCAAGTGCTTGCCCACAGCCACTTGGTCTATCTCATTCCCCAAAATCAAATCTTCCTGAAGAAGAAAGTACTCTGAAACGAATTTCAGAAACTCTCTTTCTGTTTCTCTTTATTCCAAACTAAATATCACCACTCTGGTTCTTGTTCATCTCTGTGATTTCACTTGCAGACTTGCTTCTGTATCTCTTGCTCATTGCCTGATGGTGTTCAGCATACCCCCAATAGTGTGATCATATCTTCTTTTCTGCTCAGATCTAATCAAATGGATTTTATCCATGCTTCATCAAAGACTCTCTGTCTTTTCACAGTGTCTTCCCTAATCCATTACTGTGTCCCCATGTGCCTTTGTTCTGTTTGGAACAGTTTCTACCTATGAGTATTAAGGGTCTGGTCCTCACTATTTTTAAGCCCCATTTCCATTGATGCTGCTACACTATATTCCTATAAGCCTATTTGTCCTTGTAGCTCACCAACTTTAATCGCCACACTTTGTGTGTTTGCGTACGTACATTCAAATGTTGTCTCTGTAATTCTTGCAGGCCTTTCTTAACCTGCTTCTTTCTGATTTTTTTTTATCAAGACTAGCAGGCATATTTTTAAGGTGAGAGGAGAAAGATTTTTTAAAAGATGAAGGGCAGTTTTTCTTTACACAGAGTGGTTTGAGTGTGGAATGAACTTCCAGAGGAAGTGGTGCACGTGGGTACAGTTACAGCATTTAAAAGACATTTAGATAAGTACATGTTTGGAGGGATATGGGCTAAGCACAGGCAGGTGGGACTAGTTTTATTTTGGGATTATGGTCGCATGAACTGGTTGGACTGAAGGGTCTGTTTTCATGCTGTATAACTCTATGGCATGAGTAAGGGAAATCAAAAGTTACAGGGAAAGTACAGGAAAGTGGACATGAGGAATGATCGATCACCTATGATCCTACTGAATGGCGAAGCAGGTTCAAGGGTCCGAGTGACTTACTCCTGTTCCTATTTCTTCTGGCCTTTATGGTCTCCTGATCTTATAGCATGTTGTGTGGAAGGAATGAACTTTTGTGGA